ACTTCCTGGGCAACTGGCCTATGAGGCTGTAGGAAGGGCTGTGACTTCCACCAGAACTGCCTGTCCCTGCACTGGTCCACGCACCCCATGGCGCTCCAACATGTCAGCCATCTTCCTAGGGGCACTAGCAGTTGAAGCTTGATGCTGTGCCACACAACAACTTTGAGTTTAGCCCCACTGCTGAGAATAAAGAGGGAGAGAGACTGCAGGCATCTATAAAGTCAGACTGCATTTGTTTATTAATATATTTTTTTTTTTACGTGAAGTCAGCCAGCTGTTCTTGCTGCTGTTAAGTTCTTCTCCTCTGAGGTGGCAGGAAACAAAATGAGAGTCAGGCAGGAGTAAGTGTTCACCTCCGCTACCCAAGCTCACCCTAGAGACCTGTGTACACAGAACAGCTGGCACTGAGGCCCTGCTTCACCTGCCCTGGCTGCAGCCCACAAAGCACACCCTGAGGGCTTGGTGTGACTGTCCGAGGGCGAAGAGTGATCTCAGCCCAGGGGAGCAAAGATCATTCAACAACTTAGCAGGATAGGCTGCTACCCTGACTGCCAGCACCAGAAAAAGCAGCTTTCCAGGTCTGCTCCCCAGCAGCAGCTTCAACCATATTTTAGAAGAGGAAAATTGGTGTTCCCAATTTCAATGCTAGAGACCTCTAAAACCGCATCTTTACAATCCTCCTCAAAAATCTGACAGTGCAACCCAACGAGTCAGTGTCTCTACCCACAAAGATCAAGACCAGTGCTGAATTTAGAGCCACATTATGGCCAAGCTTTGATAGGAATCTAATTCCATGTTTGAGAGTTTATGGTAGGCAGGCAGAAATCTCTAAGAGCACCTATGCACATACAACACTGGACAGTATACAATGGTCACTCAGACATCATTCAGGATTTCACTTTTATTTATTTTTTGCCTTCTAGATCACCAACACCCTCACTAAAACCCCTCTGGAGTTCTGTCCCCACCCCCATGAAAGTAGCACACAACATCTCCTAACTCATTCAAGCAAGTGAAGGAAAAAAAAACCCAACCCCAGCAAGATCACTCAGGATGGGGCCAAATGCTTATTTTGAGGGGACGGTGGAGAATTCAGTGGTGTCAGTTCTGGCTTCAAGAAGTCAGACTGAAAAGGAGGCCTACAAAGGGGAAAATGAGCTAAAAAATATTTAGCAAACCTTCCTCTACCCAGAGAGCAGGGAGGTAAGGAAAAAATAGTCATCTGATTACACACAGGGTATATATTTTTACACACACTTTTACACACATCTAGATATAGTACATGTAAAAATATATGCTATACATATGCCCATTCTCACCAAGGTGGTTTTAGTATACCATCTGCATTGTGCATATGGGCATGTATACGTGTGTATGAATTAAATGTACAGGTACTACTAAGTGTATATGTGCATATGTACACATACATACAGGCAGGCAGCCTACCACCAGCTACCTGTGCCCTCCTCTTTGTACAAAACCCAGTCCTCCCACCCTGAAATACCCTTACACTCTCCCCAGCCCTCCCCCAGCCCACTATGAAACAGGTCCCCCAGTGTAGCAGCGTCTTTCTCAACAAGCAATTTAAGAAAAATAATTTTGTAAAGGGAAGAGGAGAAAAATCGAAGTGAAGCATGTGTGTGTTGTGCCCACAGTTGCTCTGTGGTCCTTCAGCTCCCTTCCTCTGCCTTAAGTAGGGTACTGCCCTCTCAAGAGCAGCCAGCCAAGCACTGTCCTGTCCCCCTTTGCCAGCTTATTGCACATTTGCTTCTGGGCTACATTTCAACAACTCTGCATTACATTCCACAGACCCTGTCATCCTCTCACTTCAATAAAACAGAGGAATACAAACCCACTGCCCTGTCCCTCCCCACCAATCCTCCCCCCACCCCCACATCCCCGTCAAAAGGAAAACAAAACAAAACCCAAGAAAGGCTGCTTGCTGGCAGAGTGCAACAGTAGTACACACTGAATAGGTGTTCTCTTCAGGAGCTCTGTGGAAGAGAGGTTATTTCTAACACGGTAAACAAAGCCATGCAAAGTAAGGGAGAAAGGAAGCAGGAGGAGAAGAAAATAAAGGATGAGAAGGAAGAACAGAACTGAGGAGGAGGAAGAACACAGCATGGCAAGTGCTCAAGGCTTCATATTTTCTTGTCCTCTTCTTGTAAACAGGCTAATAATTCTCATTAGATAGAACAAGTAAAAAGACTGAAGTTCCAAGTCGAGGGGCTGGAGTTTCCAGGAGTCTGTTCAGTCTGTTCAGCAACACCGCAGCCAGTGAGAAAATGAGGGGTATTTTTTTCTTTTTTTGTTTGTGTTTTTTTTTTCCTTTTTTTTTTTTTTTAAAATTTTCATTACTTAAATTTTTAAAATCTTCATTACTTAAAGCTGAGAGAAAAAAGCCAACTCAGGAGCCCTTTTCAAGGATGGCTCATTGTCTCTAGACTGAATAAATCACACTAGTTTAGAGAGAACCTTTTTTTTCTTTTTAATGACTTATAAAAACCACATGGTTCCTTCCTCTGCCTCTTTGCTCAAAGGCGGGTTTGTGCCTCGGGTACGTAGATCTCGATGCTATCTGCACTCTCTGTGGCCGAGTTCTGGCGGACAGAGGCAGGCCGCTTGGCTGCCATGAGACGCTTGCGAGCTTCCTGGCGCTGCTTGTCTGAATCAGAGGCTTTGTCCCGGTTCAGCTGGGATTTGGACTTGGCTGGCTTCTTTGGCACTGGAGGGGGTGGTTTCTTCTCTTCCTTTAGGGAGACAGTAAGGAAAAACCCAAACATAAAATAAAAATGCACATACAGAAGCTTGCTCTCTGATACAGTGGGGACTCTTATGCTGTGAGGGACTAAGCAATGAGATTGCATGTCCGATGAAAGAAGCAGGAGCAGTTCTTGAGCAAGACACTCATCAAAACCAGCTTCCCCAATTTACAGAAACATGCCATTTTGCATTTCGTGGTACAGAGGCTTTCTGTGAAGCAGATTAGAGTTTGCAGACTATGTCTGGCCCAGCTATATGTCAGAGCACAGCACAGGCAGCATGAAGACTGATCTTGGTCTGGAACTGTGAAATTTTAATATGCCACCTTGCCCAGAGCCATAGTCCTCCTTCCTACCCTCATGTCTAGAGTTAGGCAGCCTGGCCCAGGGACACAGCCTGTGCTGCATTTTCAAAAGGTTCCAGTAGGTGGTTTTTATACTACTCAGACACCAGGAACAGTTAAAACCTATTCATACAGTGCTTGTAACACTAGGGGCCTCCGTATCACTGCTTTAAGCATACACCACCACTCATCACTCTCATCTCTCTCCATCGTAACACTTTCTCCCCTTCCACAAAATTGTTTCCTGTGTTACTCAAGAGAATGGTCTCAGTCCATTGCAAGGCTGTGAGATTACACTGCACAAGAGCAAGATGGTAAAAGCCCTTTTGTTTGCAGACAGAAATAGACTGCAGACACCCAAAATGTCTGCAAGGTGCTCTGGCCACTCTCAACTGCCCCACACTCACCTTTCTCTCCGGTGTCTCTGCCAATTGCCAGCTATTAGCTTTCAGGTGGTACAGCTCATCAAACTTCATGCTGATGTCTTCAATGGACAATTGCAGGAGATCCCAAAACCCAGCTAGGTCCTGGGCTGTGGGTCTGGGATTGGCATTAGGGTTCTAGAAGGGAGAGCATAAAAAAAAACCCAAACAAAAACCTTTCAAAAAAAATATCCTCCCCACAAGCAGAGCAGTCTGCACATATTCACTGCTTATAAGTCTACCTGCCTGACAACTGAAACATCAAGAACCCACAGGAGATACCAGCCCTACATATGCAGAGACACAATGCCATCATTTACAGACAAAACTTTTTCTGCCAACATCAGGAAGCAGAGATCCTGACTGTATTTCTCCTACAGGAGCCTGAAGAATCCTGAAAAAGACACGCTCTGTAGCAGAAAGCAGTAGCTCCCGTTCTCCCCAAAGCTTCCCCAGCTAGCGCTAATCCCACAGAAGTAGCCTCCAACTGAAGGATCCCAGCACGTAATTCTGAGCTAGAACACTGGTTTCTTACATAGAGGTCCTAATGGCAGGGTGGGTAATAATGGAAATGGACACAACACAATGCAAAGCACAGCTCCAGCATCTGGAGAACTTGCATGCCAGTGTACAGCAATCCAAAGAAGCCTATATAGCTTTCACAAGCAAAATTACTTTGCTACATCCCCCCACAAAACAATCTGAAAGTATCAGTATTTCTGAGGCTAGGCTGAAAAATTTTAAGTAGCTTAAGTTTCTTCCAAGAACAAAATTTTCCCAGTTCTGAGACATCTGAACTGCCATCATAGGCCTAGATTGTCTCAGGAAAGCAAGGGATCACATCTGAGCAACTCAGCACAAAGCATCAAAGGGAGACCTCAGCACAAAGTTCAGTTGAAAGCCTGGCAGCTAGTGGCATTGCTGCTAATCCCTCAGCTGTGATCAGCTAGAGATCAGCAAGCAGATGCTCAGCACTCCCCCCCCCCGCCCCTTCCTGAGTTTCTCTAAGTTTTTTATTGCAAGCAAAGGGGAATTCACCTCTGAGGAAGTCTGCAAAATCCATACCATGATAAAGCTTGAGGGGAAAAACAAAACACAGATTCCCATCCATCCCCACATTAGCCCTGTTCAGCCCTCAGCAAGGGCAAACCCTTGCATTACATTTGAAGAGATCAAATTCAAACAGTGCTTTATGACCAATGACACACAATCCTATTGGGACAGTTTTACCATCTACGTAATCCACATGCAAAGCAAGTGTGTTTGGAGAAGAACAGTAGACTTTTCAAACATTCTCCCCTATTTGGCAAAACCTCAGTGGTTCACCTCAAAAAGCCCTTTAGAAGTAACAAGAAAGAGGTAGTTTCCAGTACACACAGCAGTATGGCTGGTTGACAACTCAGACCCACAGAGAGACTCAGTGTATTCAACATACCCTGATCAGCAGTTCAAGAAAATTCCCCCGTGCTCACGTAAGCACCAAGAGGAACTGCAAACACTCATCCCTGAGCAGAACACAGCTGAAGAACTGCCTATTCAGAAGGGAGGTTGAGGCCATCAGCCTCCCACTGCTCAGCTGCTGTTTTAAATCAGCATTCATCTGCTATGGCATGGTGGTCAGGTTGTAGACTACAGCTGCATTGGCTTTGTTTTTACAGCCTGTTAATACCTGATCATGTTCCTGTAGTGCTGGTGAAACAGATACAACCTTCTCTCAAAACCCAGGAGAAATAGATCCAGACTCACCAAGTTTTGCTCACAGAGGCCGTGGAATTGCTGGAACTTCTGTGACATTAGTAACTGTGCACTGCCCACTGCACTCAGGACTTTTCCTAAGACTATAGGAGAGAAAAAAAAAAAAGAAAGACCTCAGTTAGAATCATAGAATCATTATGGTTGGAAGAGACCTCAAAGATCATCAAGTCCAACTGTATACCCGATGCCACCATGCCCGCTAAACCCACTAAACCATGTCTTGAAGTGCCACATCTAAACGTTTTTTGAACACCTCCAGGGATGATGACTCTACCACCTCCCTGGGGAGCCCATTCCAACGCCCATTGCAAATTCTGATGTCCAGCCTGAACCTCCCCTGG